TGGGAAGGCCGAAGGGGATGGACTTGCTCGCTTGCTTATGCCGCGCAGACACACGACGCAAGAACAAAGGTTCCTTTGTGCGGGCTGAGAAGGATAAGCAGGCGCTGGCCCTGAGAGCGGTGGTGTCTGCGTAGGCAGGCTGCAGGCTCCTTTGTGAACTGCATGGAGGATTTTTTTAGTGTGGGAAAAAGGCTTATTCGATTTCCCTGTTGGCTGCCCAGAGTGGGGGCGAAGGGACAGAGGTAGTATGTGCCCAGGCGCGCCACCGTAGATGTACAACCAGAAATACGCGACGAGCGTGACACTACAGAGCGAACAGGCGTTTGGACCTGCGAACGGTATAACGGACGTTGAGTTGTAGCAGTACCCTGGGGCTGGCCGCCCTCTCGCCGGTGGCAAGGTGTGAGTCGGGTGTTGGGGGGGGCGTCTCGGCTGTCCTTTGCATTCTGGGCCTCGGGCAGGAGCCAAAGGACGCACCAAAAGGGCTAACAGAGTCTCGCGCGCTATCGCCTGCAATTTCACGGTCTAGGGGAAGCAGAGGAACCGGGTCTGAGGACTGTCGGTGATCGCGCAAGGAGTTAGCTCGCGAGACCGCTCGATGTCTGGCAGTCACGGGTGGAGGCTTACACGCAGTGTTGCCCTTCCATTGAGCGCATTGATCTGTATGGTGCTTCTCTCCTTACACCGTCGAAGGTCATGTAGAGACAGAAGAGAAAAAAAAAAAAAGAAACGATGGTCGCAAACCCACAAAAAGGGGTTGGTCATGGCGCGAGAACAGATAGAGCTGACAGTTGTGCACGGCCCGCCATGGTACACACGTCGCCCTGCTTCCTGCACTGCGATCGCTTATGTAGGACCGTCTAGTCGTGTGCGAGATAGAGGCGAGGCGGATTGTTGGGCTGGCCTCCACCTGTGAGTAGCGATCAAAGCGCCCAGGAATATGACATGGACTCTCTCCGGCTAGTCCCACCACCCCGGCTCGAGCATGTGGCTTCCGCAACATCTACCTCACCCAATGCACACTTGTGGCATGTAGCCTTTTGGTGGACACGGGCTCCCTTTGGGCCCTCTGGCTGTTCAGCTCGATAAACTATTTTCCAAGCTCCAGAGAGGGAGTTAAAAGATTATGTCGAACAGCTCTATGTCTGAGAGGGTCATGATCCCTAGCCAACACGGCGGCCAAGAGGGAAAGGTGTCGGGAGGGCGCTCTCTTGCTTGCTCAATTTTTTAAGTTTAGTGTCTAACTCACCGAACAAGAGTGAACCATGGTGATAAGTGTTTAGTTGCAAGGACTAGGCGTGAGCGCACTTGGCGATGTCGCGGAAAGGTGTGCGTTAGCGGGGATTGGCTGGGGGGGCAAAATGTGTCGCTTCTCTGACATTCCCCCACCTGTTGCATTCTCCTCCGGACGCTCCCTAAATTACTGGGATTCATCTCCGTGTCCCCAAGGAGACCGAATCCGGCTCCCCTGCAGAAACCTCCACTGAGCCATCTAATTCCTCCTCATCTGATCCAAGTGACCTACCCACTTCCCCAAGAATGACCTACCTCAAAAGGTGGTGGGTGGGATTCCGACAAAATTCTGGAAGTGAGAATTTTAACAGGTATCCTGGATGCAATGCTAAGGGCTATTGTCGATGTTAGCTTGACATTGTTTTTCAATATTTGTTCATGTGGTAGGTCCTAATAAATGTCTGTTTGTTTAGATGTGTGTTCGTGCAGATGTTAAAGATACGCCCCTCACGTCATACCAAGGGCTGGCAGATAGAGGCATACGGAACCGGCAACTTCGAGTGTCGGAGGGCCCTGTTGTCCTTCAGCTGGCTTCTGAGTGACTTTCTCTAAGCCCTTGTGACGATGTAGAACCTCGGACAATCTGACACACAGAAGAGCTGGCGACGACCGGGCTGGCTGACAGCCTGGGCCAGGACACTCCAGGAGGTGGGGACGGCGCCGGAGGCGGCGAAAATAAGACAGGGTCTTATATTTATTTTTCCTCAAGAAGACACCCTAGGGCTTATTTTCAGGGGATGTGTTATTTTTTTTAAGTATGGTACAACCATCTGCATTTATTCAAATGTAGTTAAGTTGTCGTCTTCTGGAACATCATCATCACTCTCCAAACCCTGAATTCCATCCTGAATGTCTTGCGACTCTATTTCCTTTAGAACCCTTGGCCTCAATCTCTCATGTTGAGCAATACAGCTCTCATGGGGCAGATGAGAAGGGCTGCTCGTCTTCTTTTCCACTCTGTGACGAAATGCATGGGTTGTGCAGACGTGCTGCATAACCACGCCCTTCACTAGGACTTATTTTTGGGGTAGGACTTATATTGTGCGCATGCTTAGAAATCCTGCTAGGGCTTATTTTATGGGTAGGTCTTATTTTTGGGGAAATGCGGTATGTGAATATGTGTATATTCATCTATTCCAATTTTTAAATTTGTTAATGGAGAAAAAATAGTAAAACAATTCTTGTTTTTATTTCTCTAGTTCTCTTTTTGTGTCTGGATAAACACTTCTTTTGATTAAAGATGATATTTAATACAAATATTATATAATTACATTTGTAATATAAATATAATGTTTTATGATATATAAAATATATTTTATAATATATTTAATATGAAGACATTTGATTTAAATAATTATATAAGGTATGATAATTAGAGAAGTAAAAATATGTATACAAGAAATTAGATATGATTTCCCTCTTATTTAAGAAATTAATAGTTTATCCACAGGACAAATTTAATATGATATATGTATTATTTAATATACTGATTAGTTAATTATTTGTTAAAGCTATAGGGAATTTTAATTATTACCAATTTTTATATTTATATATCTGTGTATGTCTAATTATATAAGTCCTTTCCTCCAAATTATTATATAAATAGTTATAAAACAGAAACAAAATGAGGGACATTTTAATTTAAAATGACCTGGCTATTTTATGCTTATGTGCAAGTTTCTTTTTGTAATTCTCTTAAATTTTGGTTATTGTTTTTTACACTCTTCAATCAGTTTTTTGAAAAAATCTTGTTTCCTTTTCCTAATTTATTTTCAATTACAATTGTTATTTACAGTGTTTTTACAATGTTGCCTAAAATTATTTCTGACATTAGTTATGATTTATAGCATGTCTTCTGTAACTACTATTTTTTGTTTTACCCTTCCAAAATTCAGAACAGTAACTTTGCTCTATGAAATAAAGGAAAATAGGAATAAGTAGTTTTGTTAAAACTCTTCAGATTTTTCAATAATTCAAAAATGTTATGAGAGCCACTACCCTCAACCTTGCTATTTAAAAACAAAAACAAAATCTAAGGTTTACGTCCCTCTGTACACAAAATAAAATGCTCCAAACCTGGCAAATCCAAAAGAGAGTTGATCTTAGGTTTAATTATATCTTAGTGAAATGTATTAATAGAAGTATGTTTTATGAATTGTGTACTTTTCAAGTTAAAAGAAGCATACTCCTATTTACATATACATACTGAAATATAAACTATCAGATTTTTCTCTAGGATTCTAGGCTCAACAATCTTTTTTTACTTTTTCTTCATGAAAATTCTGACCAAGTGTGTACTCAAGTACGTGGGAATCATTAGAGACCTCCTGCTCATTTCAGTATTTTGTTAGATCTAGTGGCCAAGCCATGTCCACCTTGTTTGAGATCTATAACAGCAATAGAAAAATGTATGAAAAGTTCCATTGATTTAGTTCCAGAGTTTCCACTACACTTACTGTTTTGTATCCTAGACAGACTGTTTTTTTTGTTTGTTTTTTTTTGAGACAGAGTCTCGCTTTGTTGCCCAGGCTAGAGTGAGTGCCGTGGCATCAGCCTAGCTCACAGCAACCTCAATCTCCTGGGCTCAACAGCACTCTAACAGGAGGAGATTCTGTCTCAAAAAAAAAAAAAAAAAAAAAGGAAG